CAAATCTCCATTGTAGTTTAAAAGTGGCCATTTCTTAAAGAAATCGTGTCAAATGACACGCATCAAGGCATTGACACTTTTATTGACAGCTACCGTCGCGTTAAAAGCGGGCCAGTTTAATGGAAATTAACTTACTTTTATTTTTATTGTTATCTTATTATTAGTTGAACCTTACTCCATGTATATTTAAAAATGCGATCAAGAAGATACAACTTACAGGTTCTCGCAAGGGATGCAACGCCAGGACTGTAACAAATCGCCTACAAAAAGTCCACAACTTGAGCCTCCTTCTTTAGATGCGGCATTTGCGAAACCGGATGATAAAGAGCTGTTTTACACGGCCAGCGTGCACTTTCTCCAAAAAAGACTCCAAGAGAAGTCACATAAGATCGCATCAAAGCCTACTTCGCAAAGCTGTTGTAATTTGAATAGTAGCGGAGAAATACATCAACTTTTAGATCAAAAGGATTTAAGTTTCAACATTTTAAATGCAGAGAGTAACGCGTTGCCGATGCACCAACTTCTTCCTTTTCCAAAATCGAAAAGGGATAGTCTTTTCACGAGAGTTAAGAACACTTTTCGAAAATATCGACAACGTTTGGAGGTGAACTATACCAGTGTTGTAGACGATGTCGAATCCAAGAGTATATCCAATTTTAAATTTCCTCGTTGTGAGAGGTTTCATAAAACCCCTCACTCGTCGGTGCTTCTGCAAATTTCTGAAGAACAAACTGATGACTGTTCCAAAAAATTTTCTAGCTCCAAGATTATAGTTCAGTCCAGCAGTAAAATTAAATGTTCTCTCTCAAAAGATGGTAAATTGAACGAACAAAGTTTCAGCTAATGTTATGAATTAATTAACAATATACACTAATATTAATTTATGTAGAAGAATCTTTGTTTCATTTACCTAGAAAATTGGTGAATTTTTTTCACAAAAAGTCTACATATTACCAATAACAATCCCGGACTCATTCTTCAAGTCACATGTTTAGTACCAGTAGAGTTCCTCGTAAAAGAGTTCGTCTAAGTAAGTACTACCACCTTACCTATTTCTGCCACCAAACAGTGAATGTGAGCATTATTGCATTTCAGTTTCGAAGGGTAAGGGTGTTGGCGTAAATTACAGGCACATGGAACTTGTCAACTTAATGTCTTATGGTGACAGGCAATGCCCCTCCAATCTTTGTGATTTAAAGCTGGACAGGCGCGTCGCTTACGCCCAGGCGCATGACTTGTTCGTACCGTCACTTAGAGTTATAAAAAAATATTTTCGGTATAAATGCGCTGAGCTTAATCCATGTTTGATTGATCAAACATTATTATGCAATTTCAGTATTACGTAATTTCCAAAGTCTTGTTGAAAATTTGTATTTGTAAAACTAGGGAAAAGTATTCCTTTGGTGATATCAATATGTTTGTACTAAAAAGAAACTAAAAAAACCGACCTCAAAAGTTCGTGGAATTAATTACATATATTAGCCAACTTATTGAAATCGGTTACCGGAAAGTGCGCGAAACTGGATTCATCCCCTAGTTTGCCACGCCTAGAGGTTGAGTATTTTCTTCAAGTCGCCACCTTCAAGTCAAAATCGGTTCACAAATGCCGGCCGGAGTTATTGCCTAACACACATACAAAACGAAAATCGAGAACCTCCTCCTTTTTTTTAAGTCGGCTAAAATGCAAAGTGGCTCGAACTGTGTGTCCGGGAGTGCATTTCTATTCAGCTTTTTTGCCATTACCTATAACGAAGCCCTAAATTTCCGCTATTGCTTATGACAACCGCACTTAAAAGTTGGGCAACGACGTCACGAAGGGTTTTACGGTTAATGAACCCCACGGCAACGCAAATGAACAGTGACACATAAGTCGATATACTCCGAAGTAAACAGTGGAAAATGCGATTCGTTTTGTTTACGATCCTCTTTCCAGGGATTTGATGGATCTGTGTCAACGAATTTTCCGTACATTGTCCTAGAAAAGTAATCAAACACGTCTTTCCTGTCTTTAATGAATGAACTTCGGCTTATAATGCGTGTAATCATCGAATATTTTTAATATAGGTATATTGGATTTCGTATGTAGTGGTGTACCGTTCGCATAAAAACTACAATAAGTAAATATATTAATTGTTCCTAACATTTAAAGAATGATCATTTTACGTAATAGGTAAGGACAATAAAAATGTACATTTCGAATTCCTGTAAACACAAAAATACCACTACGTATGCAATTCCGAGCTCTCACTAATATAACTATAACAATGATATAAGTGTCGTGCAAATGTGGTTCAAACCAGCTAACAAGCTGAGAAGAATAAAATAAATAATAATGATACAAAAAGCTGTAATTTTAAATGCATGCCGCATCATCAGAAAGTTCATGCAGACGGAAGAGGTCGAAGTAGGATCTTATTGCACACCCACCACGTACTCGTAGATACACTCCATACATCATTAACTTGACTTCGGTCCGTAAATGCGGTTCAAACCAGCTTAGAGCTGAGAAGAATAAAGTAAATAATAATAATTGTAGCGAATCGCAGCAGTCGCTACAAACCTCTTTTCTTCTTTTTTTTAAAATAAATTGCAGTGCCACTCAGAACTAAATCACAAAGATCTGAGGGGCACTACCACTGCGTCCGTCACCCTGAGACATTAGTTGTCAAGTCTCACGTGCCTGTAATTTCACCAGCACCCTTAACAATAAACAAATTTACAAGCTATTTTCGTTCAAATTATAAAAATTATTATATTCCCATTATTCTACATAGTAGTTGCTAGATTATTTTAGTAACTACAGAGATGACTAAAGTAATATTTGAATATTAGTAACTATTATATAATATGTATTATATTACCTATATAATATTTAACCTAGGTATATTTGACCTAGGTTATTAATAAACAAGTAAATTAATTTCTTTACATTTGTGAAATAAAATTACAAATATAAAAAAAACTTACAATCAAACACTTAGGTATTACCAAGCTATTACCTTTATTGGTATACTTTAGACAGCTATTAAAGTATCCAACTTTGAAACAGCCCAACTCTATATTATAACAAGTTTAGAAACCACTTCCCTTTTCCATTTATAAACATTACAGAGACAAAGTGGTCAAAATTGTTTCTATCCCTTTTTGCGCAGAACAGTGACCCCAAAACAAGTATGCGGGACCAATGACCCCAGTACACGAGCGGATGGATTTTGAAAACTTACAACAAACTTGGAGTATATAAATTATGTGACGGTGTATTTGATGTGGAGCAACGTCAATTTTCTTATTGGAAAACTGAACGGGAAATTCTTCAGATTCACTTAGTAGACAAAAGTTACAAACTGGTATGCCTATATAAATTTAAATATTACAATAGTATAATGTAATAGTATGGTAGCTGCATTCACACGTAGCAGCACGGCTTATATATGTGCACTGTGCACGCCCACCACGCGTTGTGTACGGACGCACACATTGGCATAATAATGAAAGGCTCACGGGACGATCAGCGCAGTGCTAAGCAACGCGAGTGCATTGCAAAATTATGCGAATGTGTGCGTTCGTACAATGCACTCGGCGGGTGTGTACACACACAAACCGCGCTGCCACGTTTGTATGGAGTTATCATACTTGTCTTATTTACTATGATATAAAATAAATTAAATTAAATTCATTTATTTTGGGGTAACAGTGACTCATAACTTACATAAAACATTATATTGAATCAATTTATAAAAATTCAATTAAACGTTCATTATCATAAAAACCTAAATATAAATGATAAATAAATAAAATCAATCAAATATAATTAAAAAAAGTTCCAGAGTTTCATAGATGACACCAATTTATATATGTATATAAGATCATTGACTGTTGTCAATTAATACAGGTAATTTCTACTCTTCTGGCAATAAAAAAACTTGCTCAATTATGTCAGTAAATCAGCGTCAAGAAATTGTATTGATTGTTGAGGACATTTATAAAATAAAGATCATTGGGTAACACTATATAACACGATTTTTATTTCTGAGCTATCAATATTTCCTAAAACTTTATTTCTCTGCAAAAACTTTTATGATGGACTAGATCAATATCCGGCTAAAATCAAACAAACCTATTTAGGTTTACCGTATTCGGGTAAAATTCGTAAAGATTTATCTGGAGCGTAGCAATCTAGAATTATGATCTCTAATTACCCAAGTAGAAGACGGGGGTGATGGTATCAGAGTTGTAGCGAATATCAGCATCCGCGTAAATTATACAACCTGGACAAATTAAAATATCTTCATCCGCATCAGCCTCCACATTGATTGATGCTGACATTCATTGGGGATATTCGCGTCGTGACTTTAATTTACAAACCATCCAGAAACAGACTGCAAGCTCACAAAGCAGCTCAATCGTCGTTGAGAAAATTTCAATAACATTAAGCAAGGCAGGCTAATTGATATTATGCAGGTTGACTGTTTTTGATTACATAATATGTCTCAAAATCATTGAAAAAATTAAAATCATTATTACACTCAACCTGAGTGTAATAATATATTTTATAAACAATGAAACAAAAGTCTATTTATTTGTAATTTTCACATGTCTGTGATTTTTCTGAAGACAACATTGAATTTGCCTACACGTTATCAGATTATCAGTTGTTGAAGCAAAAAAAAAAATATTTTGATATTTTTTATTCTACTTCAGTGTACTTATTAGATACGACGTCTCGACAGGAGCATAAGAACATATTAGTACTCGTGCTCCTTCCAGTAGGAGCACCCAGTAGGAGCATGAGGAAACGGCCTCAATAAAAATCAGGTACATTTTTCACGATTTTTTTAAAATAGATAATGTCAGCATCTACTGATGGTAAAGTAAACAATCAACATCCCCATGCGATGATGTGTAAAAACCTGCATTATCAACAAACCTGGTAAGTATGTAGCGGGTAAAATAAAAACCAAATGTAAATGACCTTACGCCAATATAAGGTGTAGATATTTATTAAATTGTGTAAACATAACATATTGTAAATTGTAGTTTGGAAAACAAAGCACTTTTGATTAAAGGCAATTTTGTTCACCAAATTAGTCTTATTCCATAATCTTATTCTAAAATGTCTTACGATTTTTATATTAAGTAATGTCTACAGGGTTTTAATCATTCACATTGAATGTAAATACTTTATCACAGGTTTTTGACGAATCGCTTTTCACTTAAATATTAAAGTATACTAAAGTAACTAATCTACTTGTTTACATTTATCATGATTAAAGAAAAACTACATACGAATTAGTTTCAAAGTAAAATGGTGCAGTGGAAAAGTGACAAAAATTGCCAAAGAAAGTAAAACAAAAGTATACTAACATAAAAAAAAATACTCACATGTTGTTTAAAAAAACAATAATTAAAGTACATTTATCAATGAGAAATTATTATTTTTTTAATGTTCTTAAACTAAGTTATTTTTATATTCTTACGATAACTTTATTCCATTCTCGTTCAGGCGTCTCAAAAGTTCCGGACTGATTTCATTCTCTCGTAACTTGTACCCGCTGGCCAGTATTTCTTTGGCTAATTCATAATTATTCCTTAGACATTCAAGCCAAATTGTATAAGGATAGTCCTGCCATATACCTCCGTATCTCTTCGGCAAGTGTTCAGGGTGAACGTATCTATGTAGCGATGTGACGTCATAGCCGTGAAAGTAGATTTTCGACTGCATATCCGTGGTGAGAAACGGCTTGAAAATGCTGTAGATTTTGTCGAAAATCCAGGAATGGTTTATGATGTGAATAGCGTATGTCACCATCGGGAAACTGGTCTGTTAAACAAATGCATATATTTAGTTATTACGTACTGTATTCTATCCGCTAGCGATTCTGCATCGTACGAACAAATACACTCGTCTTATCATGATATAAGATTCAATTAAAATATTAAATCTGCCTTCCTCGTCATAACATTGTGCATTTTGGTAACTTTCGAGATGTTGGCACCAGTAGTATTTTTTTTTCTTTGGAAAATGTCAATTACCCAGATTTTGCTTAACTATTTAACTGAAATTAAATAAGACATAAAAAAACCGATTAGAGAAGGTTGTAGTTCTCGTTTTGCTGATTCCAGACATGTTAATAATGCAATTTCATTAAAATGTCGATTACGTCATGATAAGTAGGAGATAAGAGTACTGTGCCTGTACCATGAGTTTACTGTGACAGTTGTCGCTAGCGACCACGTAAATTACTTCACAATTTTGTATAAAATATGCAGCGCCCCTAGTGGTCAGAAGAAGAGACAGCATTTTGTATACAAACATTTTACGCGGTTGCTAGCTATAACTGTGACTGTAATCTCATGGTAGAGGCACGAATCTGCGAATGCGCTTGTTTGCGAAAGGCTTGCGAGCTGCACATGTGCATTACGTAGTGCGATCCGTTCACGTGCCCCTCGCGCGCATTATGAGATGACATTACAGAGGCGCACTTAAAAGTCTCCTACCTACCTCAGCTTGAGTTCAAATTTTTCCCGTACTGAATCTGTTCTATTGCGTGGGTCTGTTCTATGAGTGGGAGGGACACTAGCTTTATTTCAGAATTTATATTTATACTAACGAAATTAAAGCCACTTGAAAAATGTATATCGTATACTATACGTGTTCTATTTAGTTTAGTTGATATTAAAAAAATCACTAGTGTTATGTAAAATACCTATTGAATACAGCGGTTCTCTTGTAAAATTTCGAGGTAAGTTTGTGTTTTTTTTTCAATCGTGCGCGTGCGCGTAACACTCATGAAGCATATGGAATTTCAAATTTAAAGGTTATGTCCATATTAGCTAGCAAATCCGCTAATTTTACGTTAGTAATATTTACAGTGGTTACGTTAGCGATGCAAACGCGCGTTCGTGAAACGCTTGATTGCATCGCTACACTTTGCGATTTATAGACGATTGTATCGATGCAAACGTGCGACTGCAATGATACTAACGCGTGATTGCAATGCAATCGTCTATAAATCCCAAGCGTAGCGATGCAATGGCGCGTTTGTGTCGATGCAGTCGCGCGCTTGCATCGCTGCTTAAAATCGCATGCGTGTGTAAAGGTAGACGATTAGTAACTGCATCGCGTTTGCATCGCTGCTAAAAGTCGCCGTGTGTAACCGTTCTAAGATATAAATAATATAATATTGTACTCACCACTAGCATTTTAACGATTTTCGCGGCAACAGCAGGCGTTGCCTGCCAGGCGTGTTGTGTCCCGATGTCCTCTAGGTCAACAATCGCCACACCGCCAAGAATCTGAGTACGTGGCTCGAAGGAACCGACCTCCAGTGCCAGTATCATTCCCTTGAACATATCTGGTACGGATATTTCTTTTGGATCCCAGCAACCTGTAAAGATTATTTTATTCCTGTGTATATTATATATTTTAATACTTTACTTTCTTCATTACATTACATTAATTGTGAAGGAAAAACATAACATAAAACTTGCATGTCGGAGACAGTTCATATAATTCCTAGAAGACGTTCGAAATTCTGCGATTCTGCTAATCTAACTCGGCATAGCTATTATCTAATAATTTCTTAGTGAAAATCCATACATATATTACGGGCAATTTTTGATAAGTCCGACTCTGTATTAATAATACGAGCATCAAATGGACAATATAATAAACACTCCATGATTTTCCCCGTCAGTATGAATAATGACCATCCTGTCTCGGTCATAGTAATGAAACAAATGATGTAGTGTGTTAGTTAGATTAGGTTATTGCTGACGACAAAATGCGCCACACTGTGGCACAAAAATTAAATGTCCCGCGAGAAGTAAGGAATTATTCATACTGCCCAGTCTTGGGCCTCGATGCATTAAATGGACCACGAGCAGTCCGGTTAAAATAACAAATTTACCAATTTGCCTGCTCTTGGTCATTATATAATGACCATTCCGTATTATTAATGCCCGATTAAGAAAGATGATAATAAATCTTAAACATACAAGTATAAAAACAGCAAAACATCCCAAATTATAACGCAATAACTTCATAATAGTAGTAATTTACCGATTCTAAACATAATCAGTCTTCGGTCGTTTTGATCGCGGTAAGGTGGTACTGCAATAATGTTGGCTTCCCCGATTTGTTGGAGATCCAGAGGATATATGTTGTCAAAGAAATCGGGGTTATTTTCTTTGAATTGGTAGTAGTTTACCATCTGGAATTAAAAAAAAAAGATTAAGCCAACGAATGAATACGACAAATTATTATTATAACTTTTTTATTAATAAAAACAGACTTCAAAAGTTTGCTTATCCGCTTTCGGTATGTTAGGTACATATATTTGTCAAGTTGTATTGTAATCGATTAACGGAAAGTTGGTGAAATCCAATAAACCAGATTTATCCCTTAGTTTGCCACCCTTAGAGGTGGAATATTTTCATAAAATTTGAATGGAACAAACTACTGAGGTATTCCTTTTCAAAAAAAAGATCATCGAAATCGGTTAACAAATGTCGCAGTAATCGCATAACATACACTCAAAAAAAATACAGTCTAATTGAGAATATCCTCCTTTTTTGAACTTTTAAAATGGGCAAAACCATAAACCATTAAACCATAATCTTTATCATAACTAACGTCGACATTTTTAACGGAATTGTGTTGTTAACATATTTTACTGCTATTAAAATAGTGTTCTAACTCAAAATATGTGAAATTTAATATTATGTTCCACTACTATTACAATAGTGTTGTAACTCAAAATGTGTGAAATTCAAGATTATGTAATTGCTGTACGTAAAATTTAATTCTCTACACGTCTATAAAACCGTCGTTAAAATATTGTAAGAAACAATTAAAATAAATTTACTTAACTCAAAATGAGACAAACTTTTTGCAAACTAGTTCTGCATAAAACATTCCTTTTATTTGGCAAGTAGGGAATTGTTTAGATGTCTTTAATAAATAAACTTTAACCTATACATAAATCGATTCTGAAAAATACACTTCTTGAGTTAATACAGTATTGTATTAACAGTGCGATATCATTACTGAACATAAAATTTGATAAAACCGTCGTTAGAATATTGTAAGAAACAATCAAAAGATATCTACTTAACTCAAAATGATTTACACTTTATGTGAGCTAGTTCTGGCCAAAATAATCGTTATTCAATAATATGAAATTATTTTTTCCATTTTATTTTTAAATATATTTGAGAAATTGTTTAAGTGTCTATAATAAACTATAACATACATTTTAATGATTCTTTTTGCGGGAAGTGAGCAATTCGTTTTTCATCGATTCTGAGAGTTTCCTTTTTGAGTTAATACACTACTGTATTCACAGTGCGAAACTAGATCTATAACCCACTATAAGCGGTTTTTATTGTTAAGAGTCGATACTACGTCAGCTCTAATTCTAATTTTTCTCGTACTGAATCGGTTTTATTGCGCGGTTCAAGCGGCAGGAATACTGGCTTTATTTCAGCATTTTTTTTACAAACGTAATTAAATCCATTTGAAAAATATATAAATATGTGTTCTATTTAGTTCAGTTGATATAAAAAAATCATTAGTAATAATATGTAAGTACCTATTGAATACAGCGGTTTTCATGTAAAATTTCGAGGTAAGTTTGTGTTTATTTTCCTTTTGTGAAAATTTTTAGGAATTGTGTTATCACACTGTATATTAATTAATGTATCCTAATAATATATCCTCAAATTTACTATTATATTTTTTGCAAAGTGATTCATTCAACACTGTCACTGTTATGCGAAATCAACCAAAGCCATTCAAGGTAATATAGACTCTTAAGTAAAATCAGCTTAGGACATTTTTAAACATTTCAATTTGAAATGAGAAAAAAATCACTATGTTTCATGGGCAAACCGTAGTCTTTGAATAGCGAATATAAATTAAGTCTGTAGAACAAATATAATTAAGTGTATGGAACAAACATCGTGAGAAAACTTAAAAAGCTTTTTTTACAAAAAGTGAATTACATCGACCCTGGAAAGGTAAAACGTTAACGTGCATTTGGAAAATATTACAAGACAGCGATTTAAATTATTTTTTTTTTAAGAAAAAGTTATCTCTAGTTTTATATGTTATATAGAAAACTAGAAAATTTTAACTTTAACATATAACAAATAAAATTAGAGTTATATATTTTTTTTATTTTTTCTTAAAAAAAATATTTTCAATCGCTGTCCGTATATTATAGTTTTTGCAGGCCGTTCATCACTCTTTCATATTTTCCATATTCAGGTCCTCTCATATTTGATTCTTTGCTTTGGAGCATATCCGCGTACAACGGTATAATTTTTTTTTCCACCATATCGGGAAGTATGCGTTCTATTTCTATCAGTGAGTAAGAACTTGTTTCTTTATATGTATATATATAATGGATTTTTAAAAAAAGAACATTTAAGCTTAACGGATAAAAGGTCAAATGGTCGTTCAACTCATCGTAACTGTGTGCAATAGTGTTTACATTTTAACCTAATGGATGCCAAAGATAAAACCAATAACAATACTAATGGTCTTCTACACAATGTAAAAAAAGTCAAAATTGCCTGGTTTCAAACTACGAAACTCCCTGTATATTGAGTGCCAGAGCAACGGAAATCACTCTGGGGCACTTCCCAAAACACCTAGACCAGAGCTAATTTAGAAAAGTTTATTTCCTAAATTGGTTCTACCGGGAATCGAACCGGGACCTCCGCATCCAGCGCCCACAGTGTAAACCGTTAGGCCACCGATACAATATTACGTAGTCGGTACTAAAATTAAAATGTTGTTGAGATCGCAAATATACGTAACACTGCGTATAATTACAACGTATAAAAATAATATTTACGAGACGGTAACCTACGCAGTATTGTTGTTTGCTTTCCATTTTTTATTTGTAAGAACACTTAACTGACTTTCGTTTTCTTTAAATTAAAGTGTTGGTTGATATATGACTTCATGTTGTAAACCAGAAGCATTTTATTTCAAAATACAAATTACGTATTTGCAGTGAGTTAGATTTAAAAAGTCATAGTTGCCTAATGGTTTGACCTACCGCCTCTTGAGCAGAAGCCGTGGGTTCGCAACCTCGAGTTTCTCGGAACTTATATGAGAAATTTTATTTGAAATTTACTATGAATTTTTCGCTGAAGGAAAACATAGTGATGGAACCTGTACGTCGAAAAAGGTTCACAACTTTCAGAAAACTTGTAAAATCCCCAATATGTATTGGGTCAGCGTGGCGGATTATGGCCTAGACCGTCGCCTGAGAGGAGACCCGTGTCCAGCAGTGGGATGTATAAATGGGTTGACGATAATGATGAGTTAGATTTTCTGTGATTTCCGTTATTTAGAAGTAACAAAGTTATATATTATAAATTTTATTTCGTATTTTATTTCAGCTGTTTCAAAATACTTAAACGTAAGGATGCAAAACGCATAGAGTTTCGTTAATCTACTCGGGATATGCTGTGTAATTGCGTAGCCGGCCTCTACCTTGTCGACAGACTACGTAATATGGCATAATTGGCATCAATGGGTCCATGAATGCCACGTTCGACAACGTTATTGTACAAAATGGTCGCAAACTCACGTTTCTCATCATATCATATTTATCTAACAAATATATATTTAAGAAAAACATTATCGTAACAAAACGTATGTAAAATATATATAACCTAGGAAATTAAACTATTTTTCCGGATTTAAATCGCGTATATTTGTTGTCAACCGTGACCATGGGACCTGTAAAGGGCCCGAAACGTCGGTTGGTTTAGGGGTGTAAAGAAATCATTATATATAATATTTTTAAAGTTTATAGAAATAAATAAAAAATAAAAAAATAAAAAAAAATAGTTTCATTTCCTATGTGTAACAATCGCGAAAACTTAAGAACTCGATATATATAACCTAATTACATAACAGGTTTCTGTATTTAAAAAAAACAAGTACGTGTCTCTCGAATTTTTTTAGTTTATACAAAGTTTATAAATTTTTAGATATTCCGCGTCTATTTGAGGAAAGCATTATTTATTTTCAAGAAATTAGTAAGTAGTAGCAAACGTAGCAAACTACGTAATAAGTTTAATACAAAGATCGAATACTAAGAAAAATTCCTTCGATCTGGCTGGATTTGAACCAGCGCCTTCAGTACACCTGAAAAAATAATTAAATATCATGCTAGTAAAACATCGTGATATTCAATAATAAACTTAATATTACAATCAAACTACATTGTTGCAATTACTAGTACTTAGATATAAATATTTAAAAAATATTTTTATTTCTGCCCAAATTACCTAACTGAATTGGAAGCCTAAAAATTATTTTATTCAATATTTATAAATGTCTCACCAGTCTATGCGCTTTTGCGGGTATGAAATTGCGCGCGCGCAGAAACTTAACCAAAAACTTGTCATCCATGCGGTGCGGAGTGCATTCGCCTCTCTCTGAAACAGGAAGTTTTTTTATTTTCATTATAAATAACAAAATAACAAGATCCAGGGTAAAATAATACATTAAGAGAAGATGGTTGCAAACTCGTGGCGATTTGTTATATGTAATTTGTCAACCTTTTAACCCTTACCATAGATCATGTCCCTGAGTTCATAGATGGCCTTCAGTCGCGTGTTGGGGTCTTCGCCACAGTGCGTACGCGCATACTCTAGTACTTCTGGCGGCGGTTCACCTAGATCCACATCCACATTACACTCGGGACTCGGCATTTGCGCCCGCGATTCCTATAATATCAATATTTTCATTAATTAATTAATTATCACTCACAGGTGTACTCACTAACTTTAATATGATTGCAAGTAACCTTAATGTATTTTTTATCTTTTTTTTTTCAACTTAACAAAAATATTTAATTTATTTTTATCCATTGCTTATAAAGTATTATAATTAGGAATACCTATAGAAATATTATTCCTACGGGGCCCTGGTTTCCTGAAATATATGTCACCAGCTTAGTTCAGGCATGTCTCTCACAATATATTTACTTTATTGTTTTTTGCGTTTCGGTGTAATAATTTGATCAATTTTGTTTAATGAAATACCCAGTTATTGTTTTAAATTGATTACTAGTGTGGAATAGTTTTTTAGTTTTTACTGTACTATGTGTATTTGATAATGTATATTGAATGCTAAATAATATATAAATGAATAAATAAATGTTAAATAAATAAATAAAAAAATAAAGATATTATTACTACTTTATTTTTCTTTTCTCTGCTTCTTGGCTGGTTTTAACAAATGGGGACCGAAGTCCAGTAAATGCAGTGTGGTATATAATGTATCTATTGTTGAGGGTGTGTTGTGATAAGAGCCTATTTCATCTTTTTCACCGACTTCAAAAAAAGGAGGAGGTTCTCAATTCGACTGTATGTGTTTTTTTAGTATGTATGTTACGCGATAACTCCTCCATTTGTGAACCAATTTTGATGATTCTTTTTTGTTGGAAAAAAAAAGAAAATATTCCACCTCTAAGGGTGGCAAACTAGGGGATGAATGACTTTTGAGGTCAGTTTTTTTAGCCGGTGCTTAGGTTAGTTGTATTTATGTACATTATTATTATTATTATAGTAACCAATCGGATTACGACTAATTTAAAATTTATTAGTAAACCCTCGCTAAACATCTTTGGACGAATGACGTCACTGTATAAGATTTTTAATTACTTTATCGGGCAAGCGCGCGCGATGTTACAATAGGCCTAACTGTCACTGTCTGTAATGTACATTTCAATTTCTGAAGTTCGTTCTGAATGTGTATATTATTAGACATTCCATTGACGTCAGGTTGTCTTCCAAGTTAGATATAAGGCAACAGTTTACTCTCTTCTATCCCTGTTGTAGCGTTGTTTTTATTGTTGGATTGTAAACGGAGAGACCATTACAAATATAAATTCAATAAAAAGAAAAATAAATAAAGTTAAGTCTAACGTCTAATTTGCAGTAAAAAAAATTCAGAACTAATATACGAGGTCTAGCGTCTTTGTGCTATTGACTCTCTATTCAAAATATTTTTTTTTATAATAACAAGTGACGTTACGAGCAAGTCGTGTGCCACGCCTGTCCATAATAGTTGCAGTTCCTCTCAGAGCTTTAAATCCGCAAAGATCTGAAGGGTACTGTAATAACTATATTTCTTTACTTGTAAACAATATTTTATAACTAACAAGCACGTAGAAAATAACTGCATGAATTCCTAACAAAAAATACGTTTTGGCGCTTACTTAGATTTTTTTTTAATAAGTAGATTAAGGACAGCTAATTCTAATTCTGCGTGTTTGCGAAGACAAAAAATGTTGTTATTTTGATTAAATCAACTTCGCACCTACGTAGTCGCTGCATAGACAAGATGTGTAAAGTGAAGGTTCAGGGATGCTAGTATAACCCGATGTGACTGCGGTGTGACATGTGACAACATAGTTCATGCAGCACTTGCTCGTGTGCCTCTCGTGCCCACGAAGGAAGATCTATACGCGGCCACAGATAGCGCAGCCACGGTGGCAATATATTATTCAGACATACTATTCAAAATCAATGTAATCCTACAAGAAAAGAAGCATGGACATGATAAGAAGAAGAAATATATTTTCCGATATTATTTATTATTTCTTAATCGCGTATTAAAGCTCGGCGACTGTTTGTATGTAGTTACTACTATTTTTAAGCTATTATAATTACAATTTGTAGTAGATTATTTTTCATCATATCACAATTATTATTATGAAATAACAAATTCCACGATTGAATAATTACACTCCAGACGTGGGACGCGACAAGCGTAAGACACATTTGAATGACCGTCAAGTGCAATTTCAAGCACTGCTGGTAAATATTATAGACTTTAATTCTAGTAATAACATCAATATAGACGTCTGATATTAATTCTAGCGCCACAATTGTACATCTAAAGTCTTCGCTTCAAAATTGCTGTGTCTTTGACCGATACGAAATCAATAAAAGGTTATAATATTTTATTTTTATTTTATTTTATCAAGTGACCGGGCGAACAAATCGTGCGCCTTATGGTACCCTACACGCCTGTCCATAACAGTTGCAGTGCCACTCAGAGCTTTAAATCGCAAAGATCTGAGGGGCAATGACACTGTACCCGTGTCACACTGAATCATAAGTTGACAAGTCCCATATGCCTGTAATTTCACCAACAACCCTTAATTTTGTTTAGTTCATACTGCCACACCACCGGCCACTCTCGGCATTTCAATTTGCCATTACGTGGTCATTACATCTAATATGTATGTACACTTAATAATAACATAATTTTCAATTTGTTGTTTTCATTAAAGCCGACAACTAGGTGTATCGTATCACTGACTTTTTTGTAGATCTTGTGATGTGTTAGTCATAATTTTGTAGTTTGTCACGTATATCCTCATTGGTCAGCTCACGCAAGTCGTTTCGACTCGTGTACATGTCAAGTAGGGTACGCGCGAAACACA